CTTAGAAAGGGGGTGCGATTTCTGACTAAAATTCATCTCATGCAGCAACTCTGAAAGCTCTGATATCATTGACACATGTTTCTCTTCTATGTACCTGCTGTATCTCCAGTTTAGGATGCTGCATGGCTGCGGCCCTGGTGTTCAGACTACATGACAGAGGACCAGAGGTTGTGAGGGAGGTGCTTCTAGAGCGAGGATGGGAGGAATATGACCAAGAAGAACAGGAGGAGGAAGACTGGAACCTCTACTGGCGGGGCTCTACGTTTCGCAACTCAGAATATCACAACCTGTTGCCATGGCAGCGCCTCAACCACCATCCCAAGACCGCTGGCATCACACGCAAGGTGATGATGGTCACTTTCCTTTATCCTCATTATAATGTAAAATCCATTGGAAGTATCTAGGTACAAACACATGTAAATGCAAGGTGTAATTGCAGAGCACACTGGATTTTAATGAGATCAGATCAGCCAGGCAACGTACAGTACGGAGGTGGTCACATTGTGATCAGATCTCAGCCAGGTGTCAATGCAATCTGTGCAGCGACCACGTTCTTAAGAAAAAAAAGCCGGCCAGGAAGTTGAAAGGTCACCAAATTAGGCCTTCTCTTGCCATCTTAAAGGGGACCAGTTACTATGCTTTTCCTTAGTTCCTGTCACATATACAGTATAATGTTACAATGTTCGAAGTTCATATTAAACGTTGCCAAAGATAAACGGATGTAAAATTCAGGTCTAAACTGTTCTGATTACTCTGTTTCCAGCAGATTCTTTCTATTTTTGAGACAAGCTGAAGTCAGCTGGTGACAGATTTCTGTGTACAGTAATCTGTTCCAGGCACACTACTGTAAGCGCCGTTTCATAGTTGACGCACACAAGGATAGCAAACGACGTGAGCAACGCACTTTCTTTCATAGTCAACACATTGAACCAGGCGACACGGGCGACACTTGAAATGCAATACATCGCTTGTGCAGTAAGGGGTAGCGGAGTCACCGGTGCATTCCGGCTAGCTAGTGCTGCTGTAGCTAGCTAGTACTGCTATTTTATTAGAGTGCAGTGCAGTAGAACTGTCATATAAATAGAGGTGTGCCAGTACGAGTTCAAGTTTTTCCTCCTCGCCCGCCATATTTCATGGCTGCTTCTTCTGTGAATAACAAAAAGTGGTTAATTTCAAGTACATTGCTTGCATTATCATCCCCGCTGGCAACGCATGGTATTACATGCGTCGCTGCGCCGCGTATCACAAAAATGGACAACACATTTTGACACGCAAGCACGCATCATGGCGGCCAATGCGTTTCGAAGACTGACCAATCAGGGCAGAGTGGGCTTTTTCAGTAGGGGGGCTTCAAGAGACAGGTGCTAAAATAGAGTGCCTCAGAATGAGAGTGAATACCAATGCTCCATCAGACAGTACAATGAAACACTGAAGCATGTAAACATATTCCAGTAGATACCCATAATACAAGTCTGAACCTGAAAATGACCATAAAAGGTTCCCTTTAAGGAAACCAGCAAGTAGAGCAGTAGCTGGCAAGTCATCCCTCTAAAAGGGGCTCAGAAATAAATGATGTCCATTCATAGAATCATTTCCTTGAACCAGAATGCACAATGTATATTAACAAATCTGCCAGCCCAATTAACTAATTTGTATTTTGGGATCTGATCATGGCATGAGCACAATCGAGATAATGGGGTGTAAATGCAAAGACCCACTGATCAGATCAGAAGTCATTATCCAGATACCAATTGCATGTTTATACATGTGTAAACTGAGACTTTGCAAATACCACACCAAAAAAGTTCAAATAATCTCACTCTAAAAGAATGATCTGACTTTTTTGTTAAGGATTACTTGGCACGCAACCTGAGGAGAATGAGAGCCACATTTGGTTCATCTCTTTATGACTTCAGTCCAACTGCCTTCATCCTCCCCAACGACTACACCCGATTCCTGCCTGAATACAACAAGCTGCGTCTGACCAAAGGACCATCAGTCTACTGGATTTGTAAGCCTGTGGATCTCTCCAGAGGCAGAGGGATCTTCATCTTTGAGGATATTAAGGACTTGGTTTATGACTGCCCCGTGATCGTACAGAGGTACATCTGTAACCCTCTGCTGATCTCCGGCTACAAGTTTGATCTGAGGATCTATGCGTGTGTAAAGAGCTTCCATCCGCTGACTGTTTACATCCATCAAGAAGGCCTGGTGCGCTTAGCCACTGAGAAGTACAACCTGTCATCTCTGCATAACCTGTACGCTCATCTCACCAACACCAGCATCAATAAGTTTGGCCCCTTCTACAAGACTGAGAAAGAGCGAGTGGGCCAAGGATGCAAGTGGACCATGAGCAAGTTTAGGCATTTTCTCCACAGCCAAGATATCAATGAGCTTCTTCTGTGGCAGAGAATCAGCAACATCGTCACTCTGACCCTCCTCACCATCGCTTCCTCTGTCCCCTCATGTCCAAACTGTGTGGAGCTGTTTGGCTTTGACATCCTGATTGACGTCAAGTTTAAACCTTGGCTGCTGGAGGTCAACTACAGCCCTGCGTTGACTCTGGACTGCCAAGCAGATATTACCGTGAAGAAAGGGCTAATCAGCGATCTGATTGACTTGATGAACTATACACTGATTGACAGTTTGAGAGAGAAGGCTTATCAGAGACAAGGGTACAAGCAGCCTTGTTTTGATGCTAACCACCCCTCCAAGTTAAAAGAAACCAAATTTCAGAAGCAAAGGAGTGGTAGCCAGTCCTCTCAGATACTCCCTCTAATAAAAACTCATCACCAGCCTAAAAAGATGAGCCTAAGACGATCCAGACAACATGCTTTTGTAGCCGAATACCAAAGACATCTTCCCCCTGTTGACTTAAACAAGATATATGCCACCAGCAGCAGAATAGTTAACACCACAGTCAACAAAACCCGCACCAACAAGACCTTAAACATGATACTCGGCCCGCATTCAAGGACAAACGTGTCAGTTGTAAACAGACAGACGTGTCCAGCTCCTGCACCGTGGCTGACAGACAAGAGGAGTCTCCATGTGTCTGAGGTTACAAACCATGACAACACTGAAACAGAAGCTGAGATAGAGCTCTCGGGAGAGACAGACGTTTCCTCTTTGATACAAGATATCCCGGTCAACGGGGTGGGACTCAGATGCCCGGCTGTGTCCTGCAAGCTCCCGAACATTTACAGGTATATACAGTGCTGTTGTAGAAATTCTGTGTAGTAATGCTTGTCTGCAAGAAAGATCTTCACCTGTATTAAAGAGACATTTTAATCAAGTATGCATTAATGGATTAAAATCTAGGGATGACCCTGAATAGTTAACTAATCGATGATTCGATCTAAGCAGCCTGATTCCGCTGCCAATCTCACCGTAGAATTGTCGCTGCCTCAGAAAATGTGGTTATAAAACAAAGGATCATTCCATTTCAAGCTATACAGGGGTGCTGAGTGTCTTTTTTTCCAAATAATTGCTTGTTATCTTCCAGTAAATCATGATACATGTAGCCTCTTTTGGTATAAATGTGTTAATCAGAGCAATCACTGTCAAAATCAGCAGGGGGCGGTGTGTAGAAACATCTGTTTGTGGCCTACATCTTCTACCCCTATTGAAATCACGATTATTATTACATCATTCTTGGTTTAAGTGATGACTTTTAATTTCTCTTGACTAAAATGTTATTTGGCAGCTTGTCCAAAGACCAAATATTGGGCATTATGCTGAGAAGACATTTCAGGGCTTGAAAATTGTGAATTAAGAGTCCTGATTCAAACAGCTATTGGCTGGTATTTTGTGTAAAGAAACTGGCTTTTCAAAAAGTCCACCGATTTTATACCATAACAAACAAATGTTGTGATTGTTTCACAGTGGGAATCACAGACCAGTAAGGATGGAGAGATCCACAGCACTGAATGGACAACATATCCCTCCGCTCAGAGTTGGAGACTTCATTCGGACATTCCCTTTTAATGCGGCCACTCTGAGAGCCTCACAGCATGAACTGGATGTTAAGACAGTCATACAGGAGCTACACAAGCTCACTGCTCAGCTGGCCACAATGGGCAGGAAGTTGAAGAGAAAACAGGCGGAGATAGGTGGTGAGGAAGATTTTGATTCACTGTTGTGGGGGCCAAAGGACCCTCCGCTGCTCAGTCAATGCTTCAAACCCACTTGAGAGGCGTTTCATTCTTTTTGGATTTGTTGCTAAGCCCTGACTTTTTTTCCTTAGATTTTCTTTTCAGTTTCTTTTACATCTAAGAAAGTGGAACATATCACACCTGAACGCCAAAGTATTTTCTCAGGAAAAGTCTTCCAGACACTCAGGGGTGAATTCCCAAAAGGTTTGTGTGGCTGCTCAACCTGTGCAAATAAAAAGAAAAGCACCCGCAAAGAGTAATGCACACCTAACTCCGGTGCAAAGCAAATAGCGTCTCTGTTTAAATAAGTAAATATGCATTAATGTGGTGCTAAAGTTGATCCTTTTAATGCAAATGAGGCTCAGTGATCAATGCTAATAGCCACATGCAGTTACAGTGAAAACTGTTATCATCTTCAGAGAGTTGGGGTAACTTTCTAGCAATCAAGCCATCTTCTTTTACAGTACAAGGGTGTTTCTTTACGAATTCCCCCTTAGTGTTTACAACAGCATGTGGAAAAGTGCTCATAATTGTATAGAATCATTGTGAAACCACTTGTCAGTCATTCTTTTAAATTAATAGTAAAGCATTACTTGCTACATGAGGATAAAATACAAAGTTAGATCTACCATGTAAAAACATCTCTAATGTCTGATCACTGATTTACTGATCACTGTTTGGGCCATATTGCAAAAGGTTATTTCCTACCAATACTATATACCTGAACACACACACCATTCTCCATCTCACACTTACAAATATAAATACAAATTCATTTAAAATGTCTGATGGTAACTTTGTCCTTTGCCTTGATGCGTACTCTGCCTGATGCGTACTTGGTTTCCTGTCGTCCATTGGGGTAGATGGTCTTAACTGTCCCATCAGGATACTCTCTTCTCTTGTACTGGGAGGTGTGGATCTCTCTCTGACCATTGGGGAATTCGACCATCTTTTCACCTGACCTGGATGAGAGGATGATCCAGACAGAACAATGAACAAACTACTTCTTTAAAGGGAAAGTTCTGTATTTTTCAACCTGGACCCTATTTTCCTGTGTTTTTGTGTCTAAGTGACTAATGGGAACAACAATTTATGAAACTGGTCCAGTTTTGAACAAAACTGCGGCAGGCAGCTGCGGCAAAACATGCTGCAATGTAATCACTTGGGGGCAATTGTGCACCATCAATTTACATCCACTAAAAGTGCTTGTTTTGCCCACTAACAGGCTCAAAATATTATACTAATTGTCTGACAACATTATTAAGGATCGCTACAGAGATGGACCTTTTTGGTGGAAAAGTAAGATTCTTTTTGTTAAACCAGAAACAGCCCAAAAAATGCCATCGTCCAACCGACCAAACTCCATTTAAAAAAACTGTAATTTTATCATCATAAAACACACTTCATTCAAAGTCAACACAAGCAAAATGAAACTCACAAAACCATCTTAGATCGTCTTTTTTCCACTCACTAACTCTGGTTTGGTTGAAATAAACCCTTGATTCACCTAGTTAGACATGACAATATGCTGGCTCTGTACACACTAAAATTATTGTTTATTTAAATGGAGTCTGGTGGGTTTGGTGATGGCAATTCTAGGGCTGTTTCTGGGTCAACAGAAACAAGTTATTTTTGCTTAACATACTGTTATGGCGATACTCCACATTCAATCAAAGGAAAACATTACAAATATATAATTTTAAAAATTATTTTCATCTGCATAAACCCCACTGACCTAGCGATGGTTCAGTTATTACATTCTCATACTATGTGGCCATACTTTGTTCAAAGCCAGTTTATTTTAAATTCTAGTGGAGAGCTCAGAGTTTCCAAACATACTAAATATGGAAAATTTTACGTGTGTAGAAAATTATGCAAAAAACAGAGACTAAAGAATATGACACTGTCAGACAGTGAGGATCAAGTTGATTTTTCCATCCTCTCAACCGTGTGTTAATATTTTTCTATCAAAATTCCACTGTGTCCTCTTACTGATTACCTCATGGTGTAGTAATATTGTTTATTTATTTATGAGGATACCTGTTAGCTGCCACCTCAACGACAGTCTAGTCTTCCTGGGTTCCACTGGCTTTCTGACCCTGCAGACACCCTGAAGCTGATCTTAAAACAAAGCGCCGACTTCAGTCTTACGGTGAACGCTGAACGATGGTGCCATCAGAGTAGACTGTCCTCTCGCTGCCGTCAGGCTCCAAATACTTGATGGTCTGGTCTGGAAATAAGATCTCTCTCTTCCCCCCAGGGTGTCGCTTCTCTGTTACAGAAGGAGACATGTTATAAATGAAAGACTATACTATGAGCTGTAGACATAACTGGAGTCTGAAAACTTTTTTAATTTTCTGAGATGTTAACCAACAGTAATAAAACATGTTTTACCTGATATGTACTGTTGTCAGTGTGACAGTCTGTCAGTAAATCATAATCAATGAATACAATGAGGTTTATGAGATTTAACTCAAGTATGAATTAAATTATTTCAAAATATGTTTTCTACATTATCATCATATCTATATTTTGAAAACTGTCGATATTAAACCAATAAGTGATATTTTTTGTCGCAATTAAGTTGAAATGATGAATTTATTAGCAAGCAGTTGCTTTTTTTTTTTTTTTCTTTTTTTTACACATTTGGGGTCATGTTTCTGCCCACCTGATAAATGATAATGAATGTTAGTCCAATACTTACTCTCTTAAAACACTATTTTTGGTCTCCACCAACACCTAAATGAAATATTTGGCTTTTTACCTAATAAATGCTCATCTATGTTCACCAGCTAGTTGCTAACTGTGTCTGCCTGATGTTTGCTGCTGAGCAGATGGAGAACAGAGAGGATTTTACAACTTGTTAACTGACAACAGCTGCCTGCTATGGCTATAAAATAACATTATGAGAGCAGTGACAGTGAACCAAAACAGTGCAGTTACAATCTAGACAGATAAACAATGAGCTGAGACTATAAAGATGCACAAAGCCACAAAGGGGATCTCCAGATTCAGGTGAAAATCACAATGAGAGACTTCTTCACATTGTCACTTGATACATTGCTATTATAAAAATACAACTTATGGCCCCTTAAAGGTGAGGAATATATAATATAGATTTTTCTTCTACCAATCTGCTTGTTGGGGAAGTGAAGGACCTCCAGACCACTTGGGTGGGTGGTATGGGTTGTCTGTGAACCAGCGTAGTAATAAACCTGTAACACATGTACATGATCTTAGTGATACAAATAAAGAATAAAGACATCAACATCATTGATCAGGCGGCCACAGAGCTCACCACTTTCCCATCTTCCAAAATGTGCTTGATGTCTCCATTGAAGAATGTGACTGTTTTTGTCTTCTGGTCTGCAGAGGTAACTTTCCTTGTCCCGTTACTGAGAGTCACCACGCTGCACCCGTTAGAGAGAAGCTGCTCCGTCTCAGGAGATAAAGAAATCGTTATCAGTACAAAATTATCAAAATAGTGACAAGTATCATGCAGTTTTCAATTTAAATCTCATTTCTACAAGCCACATTAGCAAGTAATCATGAGCTTGATTGATTGATTGATTGAAAACATACATCTTAAATACGAAAATAAGTTTATTCGGCATACTTATTTGAAATATTATCCCTATCACCCCAAATTATTTCCACACATGGTAGTAAGCCTTGAAGATAGGATGGTAAAATCAAGTTTAGGCAGTGACAGAACTGGCACAGGGAGCATATCGACTTGCACTGCATCAACATGTAATGAGGTTAGTCAGCGCTTTGACACCATCTTTTGTCCGTCCTCATAAATTATTGCCAGGGTGCTTAAAGACCACTTAACGGTGTATTATATACTTGAATAATTTGATACCAATGAGATTTACACAGCATTAAAATGAAATGGACTAATGGGCCATAGCTCTGAGTGCTTGAGGCTGCTATTTATCTGAATGTCAACACTTCTGTAGATATGAAGTGTTCACAAATATGTTTTGAAATGGACTGTATTTCTTCACAATACAACACACTTGAAATATTATGATAAAAGTATACTGAAAGGGAAAACAGTTCAGGGTGGATTATACTGAAAAAGTGGATTTGACTATGTGGGATTTGTGACCTAAATAGAAGACCAGTGGTGGAACAAGTATTCAGATCCTCTATTTAAGTAAAAGTACTAAAACTCCAAGTACAAGTCCACTGGACATGAAGGGTATGAAAAAATGTAATCCCAAAAGTAACTAAAGCTGTTAGAAAAATGTAGTGGCACAAAAGTACAATATTTGCCTGGGATGTGGTGAAGTGGAAGTATCAAACTGCATTAAATAGAAAAACTTAAGTAAAGTACAAGTGCCAAAATGATCCTCATCTGGCTGCTTCTCTTGCCTCTTACTATTCCCACCATGCACAAGAACTTCAACTGCTGCAACAGCCACAGCCATAATGCAGTTTGATAGGTTCTCAGAATTGTTCCCAAAACTCTGTTATAGTGCATGTTGTAAGATGACTGAAATGACAAGAAATGAGCATACGAGCAAAAAATGATTCATCCTGAACCGTTCTGTGTTACTGGAAAATTTTTTGTAAGGGCATGTTCATGTCATGTTGTTCTCTCTTAAATAATTGTGAGCTGTGACCATGTGGCAACACAGTGCTGAGTGAGCACGTTTTCGATGTCATCACATCCAATGCTGTGTCATTCTCGTTTATGCAACACACAGTTCACACAACATTACAGTGAAAGAGGAAGTAGCCAGATTCTTAAGGAAAAGTACTAAAACAACATCGTAAACATACGGCTACAAGTAAAAGTCATGTGGTGAGGGGTGTCGGTGGATTAGTGGAGCAGGCGCCCCATGTACAAGGCTGTTGCTGCAGCGGCCCGGGTTCGAGTCCAACCTGTGGCCCTTTGCTGCATGTCATCCTCTCTCTCTCTCTCTCTCTCCCCCTTTCACACTTCGCTGTCCTATCCATTAAAAGGCAAAATGCCCAAAAACATATCTTTAAAAAAAAAAAAAAAAAAAAAAGTCATGTGTGTTACACCCGCAAACGTAATAACAGCCCTCAAATGTAATAAACCACAAACGTAATACAAATCTGCAGCTTTGAATGTAATAATCCAGCAAATGTAATAAATTTCCCATTAAATCCGTATTAACAAGAGGCAGAATAAAATAAAATAAATCCAATTAAACAACATATTTGCTGCCACAGAGTAATTCTGTGAACTGATAAGGAATGACCAGTGTATGTGTGTGTTTCTGTAAGTTATTTCTAACTTACTCAGAGCGCTGCTCTGTCACTTTCTGACCCGCCCACCCGACCTGCGGGTTGCTTGTCAACACACGCATCACTATTGGCAGGTGTATAAGTAAACAAACAACAACAACCACAAAGATCATTATTCAGTCTCATCTTACATTTGTGGGAAGTTATTACAGTTTAGATTTTCACCTTCCCACATATGTAATAATTTCCTGTTTGTAGTAGGCAGCTGCTATTACGTTTGTGGGAAAATTATTACATTTGAGGGATTATTACATTCAAAGCTGCAGATTTGTATTACATTTGTGGTTTATAACGTTTGTGGGCTGTTATTACGTTTGCGGGTGTGGTGAAAACTTTTGTCAGAGGATGTGAGTTTAATCCGGAAACTATGAATAATGTCCCCTGTGACTGTACTATAATGTATCATTATATTATAACTCATGCATTAATATGAAAGCAGGGATTTTACTGTTGGAGTTAGTTTAAGTAGAGCTTATTTTGATCCATTAAGTCATGTTTATTTTCATTATGGACGAAACTCATTATTTTCACTATTAATCGGTTGAGCCATGAGCCCAAAGTGACGCCTTCACAATGTGTGTTTTGTCCAACCAACAGTACAACGTTTAACATTAATAAAAATAAATTGAGTAGTTAAAAGTAAAAGCAGCAATTCCTCACATTCATGAAGCTTGAACCACATAAAGTTTTCCCAGGAAACACCGTTTGTACGATTATCAAAATAACTGCCAATCAATTTTCTGTCAATTGACAAATCATTGCAGCTGGACTTGTATAAACTGTCATGTTGTTTGATTATTTTATAAGCTCTTTGTGTGTTTTGTATGCAAAAATCTTAATTTGACAAGTAACTAGTAACTTAAAAAAATGTAAACAGTACAATATTTGCTACTGAAATGTATAATGTGGCATGAAAAGTAAAGACTCAAGCAAAGTACAAGTCAAGTTTCTACTTAAGTACAGTACTTGAGTTACATTCCACCACTACAGTATATTTTACCTCCATCTGTCCCTCCAGGTGTTCAGTTTGCGTTTGTGCAGTACATTGATTGGCCACTGAGTGGCACTGTGGCATAACTTTTAGTGTCTTCCTCAGCTCAGCATACTCGCTGATCAGCTCCTCCAGCTGGTGTCGAACTGCGGACCAATCACTCTCTTTCTGTTTGAACTGCTGATGAAACACCTCCATCTGCTGCCTGAGGGCCTGCACACACACACACACACACACACACACAGAATCAGAAAACAAACACACTATATAATCCTGTGCACGTAGCTCTGTATGTGACTCATAGGTTCACTTGAAGAAGTGGGAGTATGTTTGTAAATGTTTGCACAGATTTACGCCACTCTGTGTTTAACTGCTCTGCATCACACCTGATGATGACTGTCTCCATCGGTTAAACAAGAAAAAGTTTCAAGGAAATTAAAGTCAAAACGAATGTGACAACTGTGAGTGTTTTCCAGGTATGGATAAACGGTTCCCTGAACTACTTAGAACCTGTTTAGACCTGGCATTAACGTGTGTTTCAGCAATTCGAACACATGTAGACAGCCGAGATGTATCACTGTTCACACCTGTGCCTGTCATGCATCTTCAGCTGAACACTTGTGTTCAGATTTCATTACTGCCACGCACACAAATATCACAGCCACACTTTTGCTAGCTGCTCTGTAGCATGCTTGCTAGTCACGTTAGCATTTGTGTCAGTAGAGCTGGAGATATCGCTGTCAACAGAAATCAATGTCTCCTTCCATAGGGCAAAACGAGGGATGGTCCTCGCATTAGGACATATTGGTGTTTACACTACAAAAGATAAGTGGTCAAATGCGTCCCAGACCACCTTGGCAGTGATTTAAGTGATCAGATCACAATGCATCTTGGTGGTCATTTTGGCTCTGTACACCACCACAATGGGTTTTAAATGAAACAATGAATACCTGCTTAAGGTGCAGACTCTCAGCTTTCATTTAAGGCTTTTTTCAAAAATGTAGTATGAACCGTGTAGGAATGACAACCATTTCTTCGCACAGTCCCCCGACTTTAAGGGCTCATAAGTATTTGGACAAACTAACATAATCATCAATTAAACAGTCAGTTTTAATACTTGGTTGCAAATCCTTTACAGTCAATGACTGCCTGAAGTGTTGGACACATAGGCATCATCAGATGCTGGGTTTCTTCCCTGGTGATGCTCTGCCAGCCCTTTACTGCAGCCGTCTGCACTTCCTGCTTGTGTTTTGGGTGTTTTGCCCTCAGTTTTGGCTTCAGCAAGAGAAACGCATGCTCAATTGGATTCAGGTCAGATGATATGACTTGGCCATTGCAGAACATTCCACTTCTTTGCCTTAAAAATGTCTTTGGTTGCTTTTGCAGTATGCTTCAGGTCATTGTCCAACTGCACTGTGAAGCATCGTCCAATGAGTTTTGAAGCATTTGGTTGAATCTGAGCAGATAATGGTGCCCCAAACACTTCAGCTTTCATCCTGCTGCTCTTGTAAGCAGTCACATCATCAATAAATACAAGAGAACCAGTTCCACTGGCAGCCATACATGGCCATGACATAACCGGACCTCCACCATGCTTCACTGATGAGGTGGTGTGCTTTGGATCATGAGCAGTCCCTTCCCTTCTTCCTTCTCTTGTCTTCCCATCATTCTGGTAGTTGATCTTTGTTTTATCTGTCCATAGTATGCTGTTCCACAACTGTACAGGCTTTTTTGATGGTTTTTGACAAACTCTAATCTGGCCTTCCATTTTTAAGGCTAACCAATGGTTTGCATCTTGTGATAAACCCTCTGTATTTATTCTAGTGAAGTCTTGTCTTGCTTACAAGAGCAGCAGGATGAAAGCTGAAGTGTTTGGGGCACCATTACCTGCTCAGATTCAACCAAATGCTTCAAAACTCATTGGACGATGCTTCACAGTGCAGATGGACATTGACCTGAAGCATATTGCAAAAGCAACCAAAGACATTTTTAAGGCAAAGAAGTGGAATGTTCTGCAATGGCCAAGTCATATCATCTGACCTGAATCCAATTGAGCATGCGTTTCTCTTGCTGAAGCCAAAACTGAGGGCAAAACACCCAAAACACAAGCAGGAAGTGCAGACGGCTGCAGTAAAGGGCTGGCAGAGCATCACCAGGGAAGAAACCCAGCATCTGATGATGCCTATGTGTCCAACATTTCAGGCAGTCATTGACTGCAAAGGATTTGCAACCAAGTATTAAAACTGACTGTTTAATTGATGATTATGTTAGTTTGTCCAAATACTTATGAGCCCTTAAAGTCGGGGGACTGTGTGAAGAAATGGTTGTCATTCCTACACGGTTCATACTACATTTTTGAAAAAAGCCTTAAATGAAAGCTGAGAGTCTGCACTTTAAGCAGGTATTCATTGTTTCATTTAAAACCCATTGTGGTGATGTACAGAGCCAAAATGACAACAACTGTATCACTGTCCAAATAATTATGGACCTGACTGTATATTTAGCGCTGTCCACTTGTGATCAGATCACTCAAAACCTACATTAACACCAGGTCTGAACAGGCTCTTAGTTAAACATTTTTTTAGCAAGTCATAGTGCATCACATGTCCTCTTTATCACTAAGTTTGGGGTCAAAATGCAAAATGGTGGACTTATATTCGGGACCTAAGGAAGCATTCATACTAGCAAAATCCTGACCCCAACATTAACCTAGGGTTTGCTGGCCCTGCTCCGGAACCGGGTTATCCCCAGTTTTGCAGGGTTAACCCCTAAAAATGGACTTAAACAACAGAATTTTAGATTAACATGAGCTTCGTGTTCCAACGGACATTTGACGCAGGGATAGTAGAAGTGCAGTGTGAATTGTATTGCCCTGGGCTAACAATGTGTGTGTGAAAACAAGCTAAGTTAGCTAGGCTAAGAGTTAACTATGGGTATGGATAGCCCTGGGCTAAGTCCATGCTCTGCTGTTTATTGATCTCACATGAATGTATTTTGATTCAATTTTGTCTAATCGCATTATTGTCTAAAATGATCACAATTCTTTGGTCCGGTCCGGTAATGCTGCAGTTTTAGGGGGGAAAAAAGGTATCCTCAACATGTGACAAGTGCTACCAACTTGCTTAATTTTGTTCCAATTAACAAGAAACAAAATACATATTGAATTGATTTAATAAGACATTGTTGTTTTTGTTCAAACTGTTTTAGAGAGGTGTTGATTGATTCTTTATGATCATTTGCTCCACACACAGGTGTTTCTGTTACTCAGCATACCCTCACTGATATTAATCAGCTTGACAAAATAATAGACACACCTGTCAGTATCACGCAACACAACTCAGCACCACCACCACCTGCAGCCTCCAAAATGATCATACAGTGGGAAAAAAAAAAACACCAGTAACAGACACGTGGACGTGCTAAACATCTGAGATTTCGACATCTTCACGATGATTATTCATTCATTAGTGATTTGCGTAACATAAAAGCTGACTCAGTCTTTTCCCATGAACTCATGACATTCAAAGACATGATGTGAATCTATTGTCACCCGCTGTTGCTGCCTAGTTATGAAATATAGCTATAGTTTTTTCTGGTAAGTACTTACAACCTTCACAAGCACCCTGCAACCCTTTAAAGGTCTCTGGAAAACAACTTAACCTGCAGTCTTATGTCTCTTGTTCTATACAAAGACACTGTTTGCATTGTACTCTGTTGGTATGTCGGTAAGTTTCTATGGCAGACAAATAAGAGCTGCCTCTACCACGCCCCCTGACACAGTTTCAAAGTGGCGTTTATAATCATTTCCTGTATGTCAAGTAGAAGAACGACATCAGAGAAAAACAGGCAGCAACTCGTCCAAATACTTAAGGTAATTAATAGGAAATTATGTGCTGCACACACTTGCCAGAGGGTGAATCGTCAGTTTAATTTTCAGTATGAGGATTAACACTAACACCTTTCTAGTTTCTGGGGAAATTCAACATAAGTCATATAGTGCCACATCATGTCCCTGCAGCACCCTGATTCACATTCATGAAACCATCTACAATAATTGCACAATCTATTGTTGTCCACTGGAAGTAGGTTTCACATTTACTAATGCTGGTATTGCAAGGCTGAAGTGGTACTTGAAAGTATTGTTGAAGTGCTGCCATTAAAAAGCTTATCTAAATCAAAATGCAAATGACAATGCAACACTGGTGGTACCAGTTCTGCAACATGCACGCTGTAGGTGTGGGTGGTATTCATGACTTCAGGGAATACTGCAAGGAGCCTTTCACAAATGCCAGGTAGTAACTTATTTCAGAGTAATGGCTCTGACATAGATAAGTGTCATTTTCCAAGGAAGCATTTGGCCTCCAATGTGTCACGTGAGTTGCAATCAAATGTGTGTATGCAACTTGGTGGGAGGGGCGATGTTGTGAAACAGGCCAATGATGTCATGAGAAACACTTGGGCCGTTTGTGAAGCAACACTGTGGCATAACAGCTGCCAAATCAATATTTTTGCAGCTTGGAGAACATGCAGGCCTTGTTTTATCTTTTTATTACTGTCAACAAAACCTGTTAAGACTGAAACCGAAAATGAATTTAACCTACTAACAAGTATGTGTTGCTACAGCCTGGTACAGCTCATGTGCCAAAGAACTCCAGTGCTGGAGGTAGGGAACACTGAGTATAAACCATAAACTGTATAATAAAGATGGATGATGGGACAGCTCCCCAAAAGTAAGGCCAAAACATATCCATTTGCCCCTTTGGTGCCTGGCTCCAGTATAGGTCAAAACCCTGCCCCCTCAAAACTAAAAAATCCAAGTACACATCAGTTAAAGTCCGTGTAAAGCAAATTCTGCTATTTTCTTCTAAACATATTAAATAGGTCATAAAAGTATTCCTCAAAATGTGTAAAATAGCCTTTCAACCATTTACAATTGAATTGTGGAGCTAGGCTTCACAAACTGTGTTTCTGGATTTCTGTTTTCTGGATTTAGTGGGCGGGCCTTAAATCATAGCCGCGTTATGTAATGGAGCTATCCCTGCTACAAACACGCCCCCTGAGGCTGTAGCAGTATAAATACACACTCTTGTACAGTAGGTGGCGGTATGCACCTGGAAGTTGTTTGCGATCTGCCAATAAATTGAGAGAAGAAGAAGAACAAGCAGTATAAATAGAGGGAATCGCCTCGTTGTTCACAAATACTTTCGGGTAGAAAACCAGCAGAGTTTAACTATATATATATATATATATAT